ATATATATTTTTACATTTGCCAGTTACCATATTGGTATTTTGAAGTTGGCAGCTTTTCTTGGTGATGAATGAACTCTCTATGGACTGTGATCTTACTGATTTCAAACACCTGACATATGCACTTAATACGACAGACTAATGATTACTGCGTGTTAGAGTCTTAAAATCGAAAATAAAACCACGTCCGATTTTTACGTACGGATCGTTCCATCCTTGCTTTTGAGTTGCAGCGGTAGAATAGCTCCCCTCTGTTCATGTGAAGCAGGCTGGCGAGGGTGGGCTCAGTGGAACCTAAATGTTTTGTGCCTCATTAGCTGTGATTTGTGATTAAGAGTGTGGGATGCTCTCCGCTAAATATCTGGCTATGGTATCCGCGGGGCCTAATCATGTTTAATCCTCTGGATGAGCTGCGACTTGACCCGCGCTCTGGAGGACGATTGCTGCCTACCTAGCCAAACATCCAATCAATTACCATCTTTAATAAGCGATCATTCATTTTCATCAGCACCACAGAATTTATTTATGGTCTGGAGCCAAAGAGTATTTCTGCACAGGAAATAAAAGTCTTGTCTGGTTTTTGCAGAGACAGCACTAACAGAGACCACACACTTCCCACAAGCCTCAGCATCCTCCTCCTTTCTACTGTTTGCCAAAGCTTTTCCCAGTCACTCCATCATGCAGTTGGGAGGCATAAATCACATGTGAAAGCAGCCACAGCACAGGAGGACAGGGCGTGAATGCTCGGGGAGCTCAGAGAAGAATGGAGTGGAAACAACACAAAAAGGCCACGGACTCTATTACACAATGTGTCTAAATGAATATTTCTCCTACTAACTAGTGCTGTCTGTGTAATGTGAACTTTACATTGCTTATGCCTCAAGAGATTCTATCAAAACTATTAAAACACATACAGTTGCATTAGGTGACATGTTTGTTCACTGTGATCAACATACCGTAGCAACTCAAAGCTGGCGTCCTGAGAGCGCACATGTTGTTTGTGAGAAATAAATCATATGACCTGATGAAGTCTGAATTCCTGTAGGTGACAATTTTCACTTTCACTGCTTTTGGTCACTGTTCAGTATTTCAGTATTTCACTGCCTTTGACTTCATTAGATAGTGACCGTGGGGACAGGAATTGAGAGACAGAAATGCAACAAAGGTCTCCAGTCAGATTTAAACCAGGGATGCAGAAGTCTGTGGCCAGTGTCTTAACCCTTAAGCCACCAAGAAGTCCATTTATTTATGTTCCAAACCTGTTTTACTGCTGATGAACACATGAAATAATCTACTTTTATGAACTGGGTGTAGTGAAAATGAAAGATAACGTCTGGCTATATGAAGGCCCAAATCCAGAGCCTGCAATTCACAGATGCAGAGATGCAAAGATGGAGTGTGGATAAACAACCTCATGAATTGAAAAATAAAAAGTCAAGACAGAGAGAACAGCTGGGATGCATATTAACTGATGCACAATCAAACAAAGGTATGGAAGGTATTCATACTTACAGTACAGTCCCAGGGCTTGGCAAGCAATGGAGAAAGAAAGAGAAAAGAGTGAATTTGAGAGTAAGAGCAAGTACAAACAGACACAGTGGTTGGATGCATCATGACAGAAGAGAAAAATGAGGGAGGAGTCTGTTCATGACTCATCATGCTGACACTAGAACATCTGTTTAAAATCCCACCAACAGAGACGCAACAGCAGAGTTTGCCTGCATTTCAAGGAGCGAAAAAGATGAAAGATGAAGCACTGGAGTCCTTCACTCCACAAAGCTGAGGCTGAGGTCTCAAGTGAAGCGTGAGAACCAGCTTCTGGAAAGACTTGCATTGTTTGACATGATGACTTCTGCCATGAACAACTAGCAATGAGTGTAATGAAGTTTTTGTTCTCCCTTCTCCCCCCCAGAGTACTGTACTGAGTTGTGTGGTACACAAATATAAATATCAAAATGGATCATTTAGATGTGTTTAGGATTTCAGGTACTGATTACCTCAAATTTCAAGGCATTAGTTTGCATATTTAAGGTTGTAGTTTTTCTCGAGACGGGTTTAAAAAGAAGAATCAATGAACAATTAAATGCATTTAGTAGGACCGATGCCAAGAGTGTCCCCAAATCAGTAACTAAGGATCATTCTGAAATATTTCCTTATGAGTCTTTTTTTTTTTTTTAGTCCAACAGTTCTTTCAGTAATGTTAACATCACCAGTTTTCTTACTTATCTGGAAACAAGTGACATTTCTAGAACAAAATTTAGTGGGGTGATAAAACAGTTCTGTCACAACCAGACAGACCGAGACATTTGAAACCTCGTAAAAAAGGGGCAAAAACAAAAAAGAAGAATTTCCCCTCTTCACTGAGTCAACATTTTTTCCCATACCTGCGGGGTTGGAGAAGTCCAGGATGCTGGTGGCCGGCTGCAGTAGGTCAGGGCTGCTGGACGACAGGTTGCAGGGGATGGGCATGATGGCCACGCTGTGACGAGCCTGCTTGGTACCCACGATGCTGTCGTCCTGAGAGTGACCCATGCCACCATCACTAGAGAGGAAAGCAGGGATGGTAAGAAGACAAGAGAGAAGAAACAGAAGGGGTTGAAGACAGGAGTGGGGAAAGGAAAGACAGCATTATGAGAGAAAGAAAGAACAGGAAATTTTTACCACCAAAATCCAACTTAATGTTCAAAAATCAATTTTAAGCTTTTTTTTTTTGTTAGACACTTTTCAAAAATGTGTTTATAAGACAGTTGAGAAAAATTACCAGGAGACGGAATCCAAATGTCTAATCTCACAGACTGACAAAACAATATATGCAGCAGTGACACAGCTGAAAGTCACCCATGGGGTAGTTTCACACATTGCAGGTACTGATAAGGGGCAATCACAGACAATGACACAAGTTCACCAAACAGAAAACACGAGACAATGAGACTGGAAAACACAAGCCAACAGACACAAACACTGCAAACACAGGAGCACATGTGAAAAGTTAAGCCATGAGGTTTTTGGCTCAGTCCGATCATTCCCATGACCTTAAGAGCAGTTTTATTTGTGCATTTGTATTGTGTGTCCATGATTTGTGTGTTAGCTTCTATCCCTCTTCTCATATGTGTGTCCAGCTGTTGGCCACATTATGAGGCTAAACCAGAGAGACAGGTGCTGTTCTACCTGGCTCCTCAACCGTGCTGAGGGATATGCAGACATCAAGCTTTGCATTAATGGCCTCATTAGAATACCTTAATCTGCATACATGTGATGGAAACGGCAACTCTTCAGCATACTCTTCAGAGTATTGTGGTTTTGAATAGCCTGCCTGAAATAATAAAGGTGAACTGAAGGTGTTGGGGAACTTAATCTGACACTTGTAGGAGTTTCCACAAAACCCAGAATTGACTTTAGCAATATTTCACACTAAAAATAAGCTATAACCACAAAAAGATCAGAAATTGGCAACTGAATGCTGCGATAATTTATCGACCTTACATGCATGTTGCACACATTTAAACATGTATGTGTGAATTGTTGTGAGTTGGAGTCACAGTCTGTAGCTGAATGTCTGAGATGAAGAGCTCATCTTGTCCTGCCTGCATACTAATCACAGCTTCTCTCTAGGTGTGTGCGCCTGTACAGTATGTACTGACTGACTGCAGTAATGCAGGGCTTCCACTAACACAGCTGCACGCTTCTGTAGCAAAGGCTCTGTAATCCTCAAGTGTCTGGTCGATGGGTAATGTGCTGACAAGAAAGGAAGGAGATGACAGAAAAAGATGGAAGAATGGTAAAAAAAAAACAAAAAACAGACATGGGTAGATGAAAAAAGGAAGTAAAAAGTAAAGAAACAGGAAAGAGGATAATGGTGCAACTGAGGCTGATGCAGAGCACGGGGCTCAAATAAGACTAGACCGGTCGCTCTTAACTGTATCATGTCTAATTGTATTAACACTCTGAACAGTGGAGGTCAAGACAGAGACCAAATGATACTGCGCACATATAGCAGGTCTATATTTTGAAACACAATTACAAATATATCCGTTCACACTTTTTTAAGATTTCTTGGTTCACTGACAATAATGTAATTAAGTGTGGAAAAGACAATAAGTGCAGCATTGGAAAAGCATAAAAGCAACCTGCTCGAGCTCACAGGTATTCCTCTGATTTACTGCCAGGTATGCCAGATGTGCTGACAGTTGAATATCAGGAAACCAAACCATAGCCACACACAATTCAGGCTCTATCTGGAAATTAGTGATGAACATAAACTGAACTCTGAGTGTGAAAGTGAAGGACAGCTGACTGTAGAAATGCGGGATCCATGCGTTAAATGAATTAGCATGTAAATCTCCAACTGCAGTCCTCTAGTCATGTAGCTGAAAGTCAGTGCTGGTGAGTGCGAATGTGTGGCTGCCTGCTGGGTTGTGCAGGTCTGCAGATGGACACCGAGTAAAATGGTTGGAAGATGGGGAGTTAGACAAGAGGTCTTACCCAAACAGGCCCCTGAAGCAGCAGAGACAAACGGGAGAGAGAGAACATTGAAAAGTGTGAAGGAAAAAAAATGAAACAACAAAAGAAGAAGCACAGCTCTGCTGAAGCGTTCCAGCAACAAGCAGAGAGACGAAGCCTGTTTGTTAAACATACTCTTAAACATAACACAAAACACAGATGTAGCCTTGACGTAATATATGACAGCCAACGTTTGGACACACTGACAGGTTTGCTGAAATAAATAAGCAGAAAAATGTGCGGATTCATTATTCCTGCACACATAACATAACAGGAAATTGAAGGGTTGGTGAGGACATCCAAGTAGACTGTTAAACCTCATTCACAAAAAACAGATGAGATGATTTGTCAGCAAGCGGAAAGAAGAATGGATTACTGATTGTCTATAAAAACAACAGTAAGGAGGCAATGTATCAACTACAGAAAGACAATCTGTCTTTAACGTTGGCCAGTAGATTTAGCAGCTAAATGCAATGATTTTTATGCTAATTCAATAAGAATACTATTGCCTTTAAAGTTGCCACTAATAATTATTTTCATTATTGATTAATCTGTAAACGTGCTCCACTAATAATTATTTTCATTATTGACTAATCTGTAAACGTGCCGTCCATGATACAGTAATAACTGCATTAACAAGGAGTGCAAGTCTCTCCTGCTCTCCACAAGTTCTGTAACAACAACAACCTATTTTTGTGAATATAAACAGAGCAGCTAATCCACAAACTTTCTAGCTTTCTAAATCCTGTCTAGATAAGTCAGTAACTCTTGACAGTAATCATTTCTTCTTTGCAGGTGAAGCAGCGCAGCAGCAGTGCGGTAAGCATGCGGTAACCTGAACATCTTGTAGGGTGAACGTTGAGAGGCACAACAACTTAACAACACAATAGTTATTGTGATATGCATCATGGTAGATGTGACTGTATCAAACTGAAGTAACGAGGGTGAAAATGGCATTGTGGGACATGGGGTTACTGTTTTATCATCATCTCACTAAATCTCCAGGACAAAGTGACGAGAGGCTAAGGCCACGGTCTGCGGCTCTCTAATCTGTGGAATGTAAATCACCTGGGAAGGCCAATATGGAGCAGGGTGTAAAGGTGCGCTCATTGGCCTGGACATCTTATTTTGGCAGAAAAACGACTTGTTTATTACCCGTGTGTCCTTGTCATATTAAATCCCGGTCTGAAGTGGAGCCTAATGTGGGCTAGGAACAGAAAGAAGCAGCGGCAAAGGCAGCGGGCTTGTATACTTACAGTACTTACAGTACATAAGCTGGGCAACAGCATCTGAATAGGATTTTAAATTGTCAAATAAGGTTGTCTGCCTTAATTTAACCTTCACTTGAGAGATATTTTAAAAGTGAGCAAAAGCACTGAAAACATAGCCTTCGTGTGTGACTGTACCATAGCAACAGTGGGGACAGGCTGTGTCCTTCTGAGCGCTAATGTGTCCCTACAGTCAGATTTCATATATATATATAGCTCAGCATCACAAATCACAAATTTGTCTTGAGGAGTTTTACAGTCTATATCGGGTTTTCAAATAATTGTGACCCAGGGACCACCATTCTGTCTAAGTTGTTGTTCTTTTAATATTGAAAGGCACCTTGACTTTTCTAAATTTGATATATTTGAATTTGATTATTCACAAATAATAATTAATATATGGGAATTTGTTTACAACATTTTTATTTAAAAACATTTTGGTTCTTTCAGTGAAACTACATTATGGACCACCTGCAGGGCCTTCACAGAGCACTGGCTCAAAATCACCTGTCTCATCTCCAGTCCCTTTCATCAGCTGCTTTGAATCAAAGAGTGGTTTAAATCGTGCCATCCAGCAAAATAAAAGGCAATGAAAGCCTTTGTCTGCTTGATAAATGGAAACGCAGCGGAGATCTTTTGGAGGCTGCACACGAGTTGGATCAGCAGCCGTGTGATAGCGCGTCGCGTTATGAGACAGAGCACAATCAGTTTCCATGCAAACTAAGTGGTTTTATGGACATAATCACCGCAGAGCAGAAAACTGATAGAGAGGAGACTGCGAGAGAGAAAAGTGAGGCGACGTGGCTATGTGTGATGGCGTCTGTGCAGGTGTGTGTTGTGTGTGTGTTAGCCCTGTAATTAACAGGCTGAGAACGCCGTCTTGTCTCTCCATCACTGACACAGTATAGAGTTTAATGAGACCTGGACAGGCATGAAATGATGAAATGAAATCAAGTCTATCAGCACATTACGGGTGGAATATTGAATGTGAGCCTCCATCTGCACAATTGCTTTCAATTGCTCCAGATGCTGCAAGTACAATGGCTGGTTACAGATGACAACAGCAACGGTTAGAGGATGATGATGATGACTAACATTTTTGTGATTTGCCTGAAACGTCTCTATATTACAGCAGCTCAAGATAATGAAGAAACGAAAGAGCAAAGAATACTGCATCCCAGAGAAACACAAGCAAGAAAGTACAAACACGCACGTTTGGACAGTCTTGCATATAGTTACTTTCAGTGGGTAGTGCACCACCACTTCCAATAAAAAATACAAGGGGTAAAACCAATTCCTGCTCATACATGTCATGAGCAAAGGCTCAAAAGTGTTTCTCCATCACTCTCTGAGGTGCATTAAGTGGTTTGGTTCAGTCAGAAACCTAGAAACTTACATTTCTACTCATTTCTACTTTTCTGTCTGTAAACAGTCACCACTCACACCAATGTCGGTGCATAAAGCAAAGACAGATCCAGTCAAAGAAGACTGTGGCCTGGCGAACTTTAAAGTGGTTTTCACAGAAGTCGTCTCAGATTCAGGCATGAAGTAAAAGAGACAGTCCACCTGAACTCATCTTAGTCATCTTTTAAAGCTCTCCCATGAATCTCTGTAACTTTCAGTTCATTCCAGGTTGTGTTTGTGCCTCTGATATTTTAGGTCAACATTTAAAAACGTTCATCTCCATTCTGTGGTGCAGAAAATGTGGCCTCTGCTGTGACAGAAAACGTTGCCAACATGGTATATCGGCTCAGTAAAACAGATTTAATGATATACATTTTTACTTCAACGTTTAATGCCCATTGGTCCCGTATGTACATAATTAAAATGTTTTAATTCATTCTATTCCCAGTCAAGCACTACAGTGTTAA